ATATATACATATATATTTATATTTATATTTATATATGTATGTGTGTGTTTGTGTGTGTTGTTTGCGTGCGTGTGAAGTTACATCATGTATGTATACATAAATTATCATGTCACATACATCTGAGTACCTGTGTATGGCTTGTTTCGTGATCACTACGCATGTGCATGCAGAAAGGTGTGTGTACGTAGTAGCGTGCTTATGAACCTCTCTTATCTGTATGGCTGTGTTTTTCTGAGAAGTCTTTGTCTGCGCACGTGATGTTACAAGTAGCGTGCGTCGGCATGAACAAGATAAAAGTCCTTCACATCATATCCCCAACTGCTGTGCGTGTGCAAGCACTTTAAATGAAGTGTCTGTGTACACGTTGTTTGTTTAATTAGACACACGCCTCTGTGTGGGATGCCTATCCAGTGCGTGTTTTGTGTGTCTGTGTGCGGTGAGAATGCAAATAGATGCGATTCACAAAATGATATAGAGAAACAGGATGCCGCACACTCGACGCATAGCGAATGTACAAATATAAACGTTCTATTCAAGGTGTTTCTATATCCTATGTATGTATATAAGCATAAAGATATAGACACTGTTGTACTTATGTATGCACATCAGAACACAAACTCAACTCACACCAGTACGTGCGTCTAGCTATCCTAACAGTTGTCATTATGCTATGTATATCTAAAAGTAAATTTTGAGTTATATTTTTATTTGTTCTATGTATATATATGTATGTATGTGTTGTGTGTTCATGTTTATATGTATATATGTATACATATATTTATGTGTGTGTGTGTATTGTCATGCAACCTCCACTCACATACAAGACCCCACCTCCACCCATCCCTGCAGGAGTGATACTGTGTCGCTGTTTGAGACCGATACTCTTGCCCATGTGCCCGTACCCCTGCCCAGCACAAGGACAGCCAGTGCAACCCCCAATACAACAAACGCCCCACCAAACACCAGCAGTACCTCAGACCCCACACACCCCCCGGCCCACGCCTCTCAGTCGTTGGACAACTCAACCGTGTCTCTACCGGCAAACGCGCTGGATGAAGCCAAGAAACTCAACGAGTCACACGCACAGCTGACCAGCTCATATCCACGTGCACACGTACACGCACACAGGGCGTCTGCGGGGGGGTTGGTGGCGAGTATTAGTGCTGGAGCGATCACTACCACAGCAAGACAGCCCATGGGACACAGCCCGAGTAGGTTGGGAGGGTTGTGGCGGTGGTTGTGTGCATTTTTGATAGGGGATGCTTGTGTGTGGTTTGGCGGTAGGTATGTGTACTTATATA